GCTGAACTCCCTCCGGCAGCAGGCTGAGGCACGACGCGCCCAAATTGCTGGGCTGCCCGCGGCAACCAAGGCGGCGGCGGCGGCGACGAGCCCCACGCGGTCCCGGCAGTTGTCCGCGCACAGTGCGGCGCCCCCGCTCTACACCGTGACGGCAGAGGAGTACGAGGCGGTCTCCGCGGCCAAGCAGAAGGTGGAGGCGGAGCGCGACAACGTGCAGCAGCGGCTGCGTGCAACTGAGGAGGAGCTGAATTTTTTTATATGCCAACGTGGAAATGAGAGGCCCGGTGCGTCTGGAGCGTCGCCATGTTGTACGGAGAGTCGGTTTAAGTGTGGTCTGGCTTATGGTGGCCGCGGTCAATCCTCATTGGAATGTTTAAAAGGGGAGGACGGTGCTGTGCTGTGTTCAATGTGTAAGGCTGCAGGGCGTTCTCTTTTCTTGCCTTGGCTTGGTGCAAAAGATTGTTGTGTGCGTCCACAGTCTTTGAGGTGGACACGGCATGTCTATAATTTGGGTAAAGGCTGGGTACCCCTTGTGAGCCAGTACCGTCAGCTGGTTGGGGATGTCCTCTTATTAGAGGTCTCGCGTGCAACTTGTCTACCTTCCGATTGTGTTCGTCGTGTTGAGTTCGCTCCTGGGGGTTTGGTGGCTGAGTTCGAGGTTTTGAAAACGAAAGAATTTATTGACGTTGATGGATGCCTGCGGCGTCACTCGTTTGGCACGATGTCCGCTTTGATGGAACTGAGTAGGTCTGGAGTTAGGCAGATGTCTTTTGCGTCTGTGAGTGAAGTTGATGGCGTAAGTGAAGTACCGACGCATGTCTACGTGGGGGCGCAGTTACTTTCACCAAAGGCACCGATGTGGCCGGAAAGCTCCAAGGCAGGCGTCACGATGAGAGAGCTGGAACTGTTTCGCTGTCGCCGTGCCCTCGCCAGTCGAATGCGTCGGATGGAGGAGACGCTTCAGCCTTCGTCTGGTTTTTCAAGCGGCCTTGATGCAGCTGCCCCAGTAGATCCGTATGAGCTCCAACGCGAGCCTGTTTATTGTGTAACTCTTGAGGAGTACCGGGCCGTCCTGCAGCGGTGTGTGGATGCCCGCGACCAGGGCACTGACGATGAGGATGGCGATGACAGCACACGACTGTGGAATGAGCACGTGGTCGCAAGGGCTGAGGAGGAGCGGCGGTTCACTCAGCAGCTGGGTCTGTCGGGGCCCTGCTACGCGCAACTTGGTAGAGGCAGCAGTAACACCCCTCACAGGCGGGGTAATGGAACGTAATACAGGCTTGAGAAGGGTTAAAAAAAAATTGTATATATATATATACATATACGCGCATTTCTGTACCTATATAGCGATAAAAAGTGACTTGTATATCATTTTTTTTCTTCCTATTTATGTCCTTTTTTTCTCTGTGTGTGTGTGTTTCCTCCCCACTTCTCGTTCAGTTCTTGATGTCGTACTCTGCGACTGTAAATATATCTCCTTGCACAAACACGTGACTTACTAACGGGCCGTCTCCGGTGTGATATGGGGTTGAGGGGAGAGAAGGAGGGGGAGACGCTTAAGTCAAGGCAACAACAACGGCAAAGCGTCGGTCCCCACGGGGGAGATGACTTTTTAGTGTTTGTGTGTGTGTGTGTGTGTTTATTTTTATTTTTGTTGTTACTGGAGACGGCGTTGGAAGAAGAGACCGGTAGAAGGCGGGGTGCACAGAACCCCGCGGTAAAGGCTGGACGTAAGGGCTACTACTGGATTATAGTAAAACGGAGTCCGCGCCGGCAACGACGAGCTGCAAAGAGAAAGAGGGAAAGAGAAAGAAAGGAAGGTGCTGCCTCGCGTCTCTTCCTTTGCACCCTCACACGCCATGGTGTCCTTTCAGCAGTTTGCTTCTGTCCTCGCGGTCGGGTCTGCCTCGGCCTGTCACTGCTTGCGGTTTTCTCATTTTCTCTCTCCCTCTCTCTGCATTGATGCCGGTGTTGCCCCAAGATTGAGTGGTTGGCGTGTGCCTTTGAGTGGCGTGCACGCGGAGACACGTAGCCGAAGAGGGAGCCGCGAGGAGCGCGATGGCGGAGTCGGGGACGTTGCCGCGCGGACGCGGTCTCCGCTCCGTCTCGGCGGGGATGAAGCCGCGTCGCCTCATCCCCACCGCGCAGCGCCGCTCCTCCACTGCGAGCGGCGCGGAGGCAGGCGAGGCCGGGGACGCTCACGCGGAGGTGATGACGCTGCGGCTGCTGCTGCAGGAGCGCACGGAGCAGGTGGAGCGGCTCCAGGCGCTTGTGAGTGAAAAACGAGTGCTCCAGCGACACGATGAGGCCCTTGCAGAGCGTCTGCGGCAGTACGAGGAGCAGCTGGCGCAGCTGGAGGTTGCAGTGCGGGGAGGCACCCCCACGGCAAGGCAGCAGACGTTGTTGGCGAGGGGGGAGAAGGGCTCCGCGGTAGAATCAGCCGACAGGCGGCCGCCGCCCTCCATGCGTGAAATCATGGATAGCGTCTATCAGTTGCGGTACGAGAAGCATCGCCTGGAGGGGGCGCTGGCGGAGAAGGAGCGACAGCTGGGCGCTGTCCGTGCGGAACTGCAGCATGCGCAGCAGTTCGACAACGTCCAAGAACTGCTGCCGCTAACCGAAGTGGCTGGGACGAACGCCCGCTGTGCTGCCCCACCCACGCAGGCCCCGGCGGTGAAGAGGAGGAGGAGGAGGAGGCTGCGGTTTCCCTTGAGCGCCAACTGGCGGAGGTGCGGGAGAAATTTTCCCGCGCGGAGAGAAAACTTGAGGCGTACCAGAAGGAGCACGCCACGATGCGGCAGGTGCTCCGCGAGCGGGAAAAAGAGGTTTTAGAGTGGCAGCGCAAACACCGGGAGGCGGTGGACGCTGGATCAAAGCAATCACCGAAAGTGGAAGAGCTGCACCAGCCTCTTCCTGCCCAGTGGAAAAGCACGAAGAAGATGGTCTCATCGTGTCACCGCACCTTCTTTCACGGCGCGGAGTGGTTGCAGATTTTGGACGAAAAGCCCGAGTCAATGCGGAATGCCTTTTTGAAGGATGCATCGTTAGAGTTATGTGCACCGTGTGGGTTTCTTTCCGTGGTGGAGATGCAGGCGGGGCCCGGCTTTGTTGCCATTGAGGCGGAGGTGCGCCGTCCCGCCTCGCTTGGCGACGACAAGGTGGAGTTGCTTCTGCTGCACTGTCCCTTTGCGGAGATGCAGCGGCTGCTGGCGCTCCGGCACGCGCCAAAGGAGGGCTGGGACGCGGTGCAGGCGCAGCTGCGTGAGGCGCAGAGCATCATCGCGGCCAAAGAGGGGGAGGCCGCGGAGCTGCAAAGCCGGTTGCAGCGAGCGGAGCGACTACTCGTCGAGCACCGCGACGAGCGTGACGCGGATGACCGGTGGGTGCATGAGGCCCTTGACGAGACGGAGAAGACTGTGATGGTGATGTACAACGAGGTGAAGGAGCAGCGGGAGAGGGAAAAGCGGCTTGAGGCGCAGCTCCAAGCCGCCACGGAGTCGCTCGAGGCGCGTGCGACGGAAGTCGCCGAAGTTACGGCCCGACTGCAAACAGTAACCGCGGAGGCGGAGCGGCAGGAGAAGCGTGCCGCGCAGCGGCTTGACGAGGAGCGCCGCAGGGCCTCCACCGAGCTGCGTGGCGTAGAGGAGAAAATGCGCCAAGAGCTGTCCACACTGCGGCTGCAGCAGCAGCAGCAACTTCGCAAAGCCGCTGAGGCTTCACGGCTGCTCACACACACTCTTACACTCAATTGCGAGCCACACAACGAGGCGGCCGTGTCGTCGCTGGACCCCGAAGGCAGCAAGATTCTGCAGGCCCTGTTGCTCAACGAAGCCGCGATCGCCGCCAATGCCATCCCGCACAAGGTGGCTTCGCTCACGTGCAGCGGGAGCGAGTTTCGGGCGGAGGTGCAGCTGCAGATAAACGCCCTTGCCGTGGATGAGGCAAGTGTGGCGGAGAGCTTGCGACACTGCCGGACCCCCACTGCGGCGCTCTTCCTGCAACAGTGGCTCGATGCAAAGGGATCGGTGGAAGGCCGCAGCCGGGAGATTCAGCGCCTCGTGCAGGGGCTGAAGGCGATGAGTAACAAGGCGGATGAGCTTCTTGCGAGGAACGCACAACTTACGTCAGAGGCCGAGGTAAAGCTCCGCGAAGAGCGTACGCGCGTTCGTGACGCCGAGAAGCGGAGCACAGCCCTTGCGGAGGAACTCTCCTGCATTCGCGCGGCCCTTGGCACGGAGGACGCGTCGCAGCCCCTCCCAGAGCGTGTGGCACGTCTTCTGACGGCGGTGGCGGAGGCAGAGCAATCGAGGGATGAGCATGAGGAGAAGTGGTGTGCGGAGCGCGCGCGGGCGCAGTCACTCGAGCGGCAGCTGCAGGGAACGGAGAACGAAAACCATCAGCGGCAGCAGCGCTTTGCGGAGAGGCTGCTGGAGTTGAAACAGGACCTGGAGAAGGCGACAGGGGCGCTTGACTCACTGCATGGCGAGCACCAGCAACTGCGGAAGCGGCACGCCTCCATGCAGGAACTACTAGAGGAGCAAAAACAGGCCCTGGTGGAGGTGCAGGCAACACGGCGGCATAAACTTCAGCGGCGGGACGACGAAGTCCCTTCAAAGCGTCAGGTTGCGGCTGCCGAAACGGCCGTAGAAGAAGAGCATGATGCTGTTGCCGCGCTCCAGCGTGCGTATGCGGAATACGACGAACTGTACGAAACATTAGAGCGCTCCAGGCGGCAGTGGCAGAAAACGGAGGCGCTACAGCGAGAGAAGCTGCAAGGAAGTGAAGAGGAATGTAAAGAGCTCCGTGAGCAGCTTGCTGCACTGCAGCAGGAATTGCGGCGGCGACAAGAGGAAGCCACCACTGCTGCCTCCAACCACAAGCGCAGCGAAGCGGAACGCGACGAAATACTCAACCGCATTCAGAAAGAAATGCAGGCACTCTCCAAGCGGTTGGCAAAGAATGATGCCCTGCAGCGTGAAACAGAGTCGGCTAAGAAGGCGCTCGAGCTGCTGGTGGCGCAGTTGCAGCAGCAATGTGACGCGCATGCGGCTGAGCGGAAGCAGCTGCAGGAGTCATCCTCCATGCTGGAGAAGGACAGGGCCGCCCTGGAGAAAAAGTTGGGGGAGTTGGAGCGTGAGATGCAGAGCCGAAGTCTGAGAGCGGAGGAGATGATGCGGCAGTTGGTGGCTGAGGAGGATGCGCGGCGTGCCGCCGAGAAGGAAGTGGCGGCGCTGCAGCGGCCACATTCGACGACACGCAAAAGGTTAGGGAGTAGTGGAGGAAAGGAAGAAGGCACGAGGGCGGCAACTGTGCAGGAAGTAAAGCAACTACGCAATTTCTGCATACAAGCTCTCAAGCTGCCTCTGACGGAGAAGCAGCAAACAGTCAGCGACGTCATTGCCTTCCTGGAGCAGCACCGCGGGTCGGTGCTGGCGGAGCAGGAGACTTTGGCGGCCGTCCTCGCGTCCATGAGCACCGCAGCGGGGTTGCTGCGGCAGTGCGTCGCCGCCGCGGGAGGACCGAAGGAAGGACTCAGCCATAGGACTCAAGCCTCAGGGGCTCCTGGCAAGGAGTTAGCCGCTGGTAATTTGCGTGTCTTTAGCCGCTCTCTTACCTACAGCGGCGGCGGTGCGACGGCGGCGGCGGCGGCGCACTCGGCTATGCCTCCGGTGCTGGCCAGCAGGAAATCCGGCACAGCAACGCCCTTGACGCGGCTAGCGAGCGGCCATCAACACCTGCAGAAACCGTCTGTGAAGAAAAGCACGCCGTCCGCCACTTTGACTTCCACCGCGGCTGACGTGGTGCATTTTGCCCAGCTGCTCACCAGCGCCGTGGCGCACTGGCGAGACAGCGAAAAGCAAAATGTAGTGGGAAATGGCGCTGCGTCGAAGAAGTCCTCTGGCCTGTTGGAGGTGGCCGGAGGAACGCAGCATGTCATGCCCAACACGCAGCAGCAGAAAGAGCCCCAATGTCATACTGAGAGTGAAAACGAAATTGCTGTTTCAAACTCCAACGGCAACAGTGAATTCTTGCGTCGTAGCCGCGCCCAAGCGTTATGTGTCGCGCTTTCCGTGAAGGATCATTTACACGACGCGTTGGGCGCGCTGCACTCTGTGCTGCGCGCCTTCCACGAGGAAGCCTACACCGTGAGTGGCCGCTTCGCGGTAGACCCTATCCATGACCTGCGGATGTCAGAGGGGTGCGTTGTGTACGCGCTGAAGCGCATTTCGCAGTCCGCCGACGCCATTTTTTCGACGAGAGAGCGGCGCGAAATTGAGGCAAGGCGTGGCGTCGAGTACTTCAACGTTCCGGTGGTGTGGCACGACGTCGCTGCTTCAGCCGCCCGGGCCAAATCGCCGCCGTCCCACACACCCAAGGGGCAGAGGCAGCCTGGTAACGCCTTAGCGTCGCGCGATGTCAACCTCTCAGCGTCGCCATCGCGCTCCTGCGAGCGGCCGGAGCGTGATCGCGTGTACGCTGGGGGCGCGGCCACTGACTACCGGTATCGCATGAGCCCAGAGGATAACAAGCTCATTCAGTGGGCTCTGCTAGAGGCTCGTCGACGTAAACGTTGAGGCGCCTGAGGAGGAAAAGAGAAGCGCTGGCCCTTTGCGTGTGTGTGTGTGTGTGTGTGTGTGTGGTTTGAGGCACGAAGTAAAGGGTGGGGGAGGAGTGCGTGCAGGCATGCGTATGCAACAGAGAAGAACGACTCCGCGTTCAACGAAGCTAATCGGGTGCTCACTCCCCGCGCCTTTACGCGCATCCACAGCCAGGTGTTGTCTTGTACCTTTTTTTCTCTTGATTGTTATTATTACTAGAAATTCTTTTTTTTATTATTATTTTATTTTATTTTTTGGATCCTTTTTTTGTCGACACCTGCGTGTTCTCGCTTTCTCCCTTTCCATGCGTGTGTGAGTGTATTTCCGGCCATGCTTGCTTCCTGCAACTCTTGCTGCCGCCCCCATGTCAGCAGGGGACTGCCTTGCCTCTTCCCTCCTTACTCTACGGTGTTTTGTATAGCGCGTACCTACATGCATTAACTACGCGGCACATCCACGGAGGAAAGACGCGGACGGATTCAATTTGTATTGTCGCGTTGGATTCAAAAAATCTCCTTCATTTGTTTTTTTTTTGAACTTTTTTTTTTCTTGTGTGATGCCCGGCCGCCCCCCTCTTCCCACACAGAATGTTGTTGCTGCGGCTGACCAGTCATTGTGACTGTGGCTTGTCTTCCTGTGCAGATGTTTCTTCCCCTTCTCTCTCTCTCTTGCTCGCTGTATGCCGCTTCCTCGTATTGCCTGGGCACCGCAGCTCCGCCACGCATAGACGCCACGCATAGACTCCACGC